GCCTTAGGCCCCCCTCCCCCTCACCCCACTCGGATCCCACCCTTAGGCCCCTCTCCCCCACACCCCACTCGGAGCCCACCCTTAGGCCCCTCTCCCCCTCACCCCACTCGGAGCCCAGCCTTAGGCCCCTCTCGCCCCCCCACTCGGAGTCCAGCCTTAGGCCCCTCTCGCCCCCCCACTCGGAGCCCAGCCTTAGCCCCTCCTGCCGCATTACACTCTTCACCCCACTCCTAGGCTCCACCTGCTGACCTTCCAACAAACCAAGCTCGTCCCAGAACCAATGACTTCGTGTTCCCTCTCATCTCCAACTCACCCTCTTGAACTTCTGCCACCCTGGGGCCCCTCCCATCCCAGGCCTCCTCCCCTCGCACCGCACCCCTTTCTGACCCTGGCACTCTCTCTGGGCACCCCCTTTCTGTACCTCCAGCAGATCAAGGAAGGGGAGCCACCAAGGGATGGGGAGGGGGACTTCCTGAGCTAAGCCTGGGGCTGAGGAGGGGGCTGCTTCCTGGGGTCCCCGTTCACACCCACAGTCCCCTGCTGTCTCCCACCCAGGCTCATTCCACCCAAGACGGTTGCTGCTTCCCCTGATCGAGACAGAAACCCTCCCAGTTTCACAATCTCCTGTGGAAGGGACCCCCACCCCCCACCCGCCAGCCCCCACATCCCTACCCACCAAGGCTGGGGACAGGCTACTCTCCTCCCGGCTGTTTCCCAGCCATAGCCCTGGCCCTAATTGCTGTTGCCCTGTGTGTCTGAATTACAGATTTCTTTACCAACTCCCGCCCCCCACAGCCGCCCATGCCTTCAAACTTCCCAGAGCCCCCCAGCTTCAGCCCCGTGGTTGACTCCCTCTTCAGCAGTGGGACCCTGGGCCCAGAGGTGCCCCCGGCTTCCTCGGCCATGACCCACCTCTCTGGACACAGCCGTCTGCAGGTGAGCTCACCCCACCCCGTCCAACCCTATGTAGCTCACTTGAGAGCTGGTCCTGCCCTGTTCATGTCCAGGAGGTATCAGACACTCCCTGAGTGCCCGGTTTGCTGCTTGGAGATTGGAGGGGAAGAAAGACCCCATCTCTGCCCTCTGGGAGGGACCCCATGAAGCAGAACTGGACAAAACAGTCGTGGCAGAAAGCTAAGGGCGTGGAGACCCTGGAGTGGGCTCCACCAAGGGCCAGTTGCTTGTGGAAGTCTTCCTGGAGAAGGGGAGCTCCTGGGCCTCAGAGAATAGGTCAGCTTTGGACAGAAGGGACTGGCTGAGGTCAAGCCAGATGGGAGAGCAGCAGGAACAAAAGCTTCGAGGCAGAAAGCTGAGCATGGATGTTTAGGAAACTGTGAATCTACTATTTTGGTTCATGAATTCCTGAGTGCAATTCTTTTTTTTTTTTGAGATGGAGTCTCACTCTGTCACCTAGGCTTGAGTGCAGTGGCACGATCTCGGCTCACTGCAACCTCCACCTCCTGTGTTCAAGAGATTTCCGGGCCAGGTGCGGTGGTTCACGCCTGTAATCCCAGCACTTTGGGAGGCCAAGGCGGGTGGATCACGAGGTCAGGAGATTGAGACCACCCTGTCTAACATGGTGAAACCACGTCTCTACTAAAAATACAAAACAAAACAAAAAAATTAGCTGGGCATGCTGGCGGGCGCCTGTAGTCCCAGCTGAGGCAGGAGAATGGCGTGAACCCGGGAGGTGGAGCTTGCAGTGAGCCGAGATTGTGCCACCGCACTCCAGCCTGGGCAACAGAGCGAGACTCCTTCTCAAAAAAAAAAAAAAAAAAGAGAGAGAGAGAGAGATTTCCAGGTTATTTTTGTGTTTTTAGTAGAGATGGGGTTTCACCATGTTGGCCAGGTTGGTCTCGAACTCCTGACCTCAGGCCCACCTTGGCCTCCCAAAGTGCTGGGATTACAGGTGTGAGTCACTGTGCCCAGTCCCCAGGTGCAATTCAGATGTTGCTTCCTGCTGCTTTGTTATAGGCCTTTTCCCTCCATCATCAGACTTTTTGGGTGCTAATTCTAGTTGGTTGTTGAGGAGTGTCTCTCCTCCACCAGAAAGTGAGCTCCTTACTAGAAGGGCTATGTTTTGCTCACCACTGCATTCTCTATACCTAATGCGCCTCAGGCACATAACAGCATTCAGTAAATGATTGTCCAATGAGTGAGTCAGTGACTGAATGAATGAGCCAGTGAGCAGATGAATGGGTGTTTTGGTGAATGGACAGAGGCATCTTATACAGCAGTGGAGGCACACATGGGTTGGTGGATATATGGGTGGGTGAGTGGTTGGTTGGATGGATGGGCTGGTGGATGGATACATAGATGAGTAGTTTAATGGGTCAGTGAATGGGCTGATGGGTGGTTAAGTGACTGGTAAATGTATAGATGGTGGATGGATGGATAAATGAATGGATGGATGGATGGATTATGGATGGGTTGGTGGATGAATGAAGGAAGTATATATGGTTGGATGGATTCATTAATGCCTTAATATCTGGTGGGCTGGTGGAGGGTGTGGTAGATGAGCTACTTCATAGATTGATAAATAAGTAGGTGAATGGATGGAAGATGGATGAATTAGTAGATGGACAATTGAATAGATGGGTGGGTTGGTTAGTGGATGGATCGGTGGGCAAGTTAGTGGATGGAAGGATGGATGATGATTGGATGGGTGGGTTGGTTAGTGGATGGATTGGTGGACAAGTTAGTGGATGGATGGATG